ATTCCTGCTTCCCCAGCTGAAATCTTCTCTCTATGCATGGCCCGTTCACTTCCCCAACAAGCAACACTGCAAATAGAATAACTGTCATTTCAGCTGGGGGAGTGACAACAGATGGAGCTCAGGGACTGTCTCTGTGCATATGCACAAGCCAGGCAAGGTGTTGGGGAGATGCAGCACCCTGAAGCTGGGAAGACATGTTCTTTGCTTTGCAGTTTCTGAGAACAGAACACAGTGCTGTTTTGCATGACATTTGGGAAACAAATTACTTAAAACATTCTTATAGCCCACAGGAGACATTTGATGTCACTGCGTTAAGTTTCCTGGGTAATTTAAGAGTGAAAAATTAAACCTTCTTTTGAGTGAGACAGGAAGGAGTTGAGTTGACCATCCATCAGGAAACAGCTCCTCAAGGACTTTCTGCATACACACAGAAAGTCTTATTTCATAAGTAGTAGTAGAAAAGTGAGAGCATACAACCCACCAAGGAGCTCTGTACAAAAAAGATGGATTGCTTTCTGGAGGTGCATAAATTATATTTAGGGTGAGCATGAGCAGAAAGCATAAGAGAAGAGAGGCTTGAAATAGGATTCTGTCTGGAGGTGAAGGGTTGGAGTTGACCGGCACCAGCAGCGTGCACAAGGCATTTAACAGTGTCTCTGTTCCCTTTCCCCTCTCTGTCCCAGTACATTGAGTCTCCTGATGTTGAAAAAGAAGTGAAGCGTCTGCTGAGCACAGATGCCGAAGCTGTCAGTGTCCGTATCCTTTTAGGAAAAAACAAAAACTCAAGCTGGGTACAGGACACTTTGTGTGACCTGGGGGTTGTGGAAAGGAGAGACAAGTTCAGCTTTGCTTGGGTGTGAGAGACTGGGAGATAAGCACGCAAGAGGCACTGAAGTTCTGGGTCTTCATCTTTGCCTTGTTCAAAGCTCATTGTTTCTTCATGGCGACCTTCCTTGTGGATAGTACTGTTGTATTGAGCAGAAACTTATGTAACAGCAGAGGAGAAGTCATCAAAAAAGGGGGCTGGGGTGGTTAATCCTGGATATCCATAGCTACAAGGCCAGACTTTTTGGAGGGGCAGTGATCTCCTGCAGTTTTTAGCATTTTTTTTGTCATACTGCATCTTTCCTGTGCCTCTTTTTTCCCTTGACTCATCTGTTCCTGCTGTCAGGCTGGGAAGTCATTGCTGAAGATGAAACAAAAGAAGTAGACAACCACGGTTCACTCACCAGCCTGGACATCTCCTCCCCAGGGATGTCAGGACATAAGCAAGGCCATGGCTCCTCAGGTGCAGTGGGGACGGCTGTTGTTTTCTTTCTGCCCACTCAGTAATCAGTTGGGCCCATTCTCTCTGGGGTGAGCTCTAACCAAAGCGAAGGAGAGAGGGCCCTGAGACGGGCACCCTGTACTGACATGGTCCCTGGCAGACAAAGGGTGCTGGAAGGTCATCAGCTGTGTTTTTCCTCTCACCTTTTGCACCCCCCTTAGAACATGATGAACTGCGGGAGATATTTAATGACATCAGCAGCAGCAGTGAAGATGAAGATGAGAGGGATCATCATGACGACGAAGACCTGAACATCATGGACACTGAGGAGGACTTGGAGAGGCAGCTGCAGGACAAGCTGAATGAGTCTGATGGGCAGCAACAGGAGAATGAGGGGTCCAACCAGATAGGTGAGTGGGTGGCAGAGTGCAGCAGAATCACCGGGGTGCCAGGCAGGCTGCACTGCCCAGCTCTGCCTGTGCCCTGGGTCTGAGCTCGCTCTCTCTTCCAGTCATGGGGATCCAGAAACAGATTGACAACTTGAAAAGTAAACTGCAGGAGACCCAGGACAGGAGGAAGCGCCAGGAAGATCTCATCATGAAAGTGGAGAACGTAGCCCTCAAGGTGAGAGCTCTCCTGGGATCTTCTGCTTAGCACTGCCTTGCCATTAGATCCAGCAGACTGATTCAGCTGCTGCCCTGGAAAAGCCAGGGGCTTTTGCCTGCTGAGTTAAAAATAATTGTGGTGTGACTGTACATACTCCAGCATTTCCCCACGGAGGCAAAGCAATCTATGAAACTGCAGGAGATAAGGGGGCTGGTTGTCAGTGCAGCTTGGGGCTTGCTGCACCTTTTGGCATGTTGTGCCCACACCCATTCAGTTGAGGACACATTGATAACTGTGGTCTGGCGTGTTTGTCTCTGCAGACCCGTCTCCAGGCTGTGCTGGATGAGTTCAAGCAGCAGGAAGAGCGAGAGAAGCAGCAGGTGAGGAAACTCCTGCAGTGGAGTGGGAAGGACTGGGGCACAACGTGATTCTAGGCTTGGCCTCTGACAAAGTTTCCTGAATCTTGTACTACACCAGCTGCTTTGAACTCGGGTGTTACAGGTCAGGTGCGGTTGTACCTCGTCTGTTGCGTGCAACTACAGTTGAGGTACAACCACACCTGACCTGTAACACTGGGGTTCAAAGCAGCTGGTGGAAGGAAAAGGGGTCGGTTGCAGCAGTGAGTCTAGTCAGCAGTCCAAGGCTTCTAGGATTGCTGCCTGGGTTAAAATATGACACAGAAACCCACGAGCACCCGTGTACAAGAAAGGCAGTAGCTGTAGAATCTTGGCAGATTTCCTGCCTGGGCAGCTCTGCTGGGTTTCAACCAGGTACCAAGGCAGGCGGTTCCCACTCCCAGTTTCCTGTTGTGTGGCTTCCCCTTGTGGGCAGTGCTGAATTCTGCCCCAGAGGTGCCCAGGCGTGGCTCCCTGTGATGTACAGCCAAAGCCCCCACTGGAGTAGGTGGAAGATCTGCAGAAACACAGACGTGCTTGGGCTGGAGCTGCCAGGAGTCCCAGCTGTGCCTTACTGTAATGCCTCGCTCCCCTTTCCCAGATGATGTCCCTGCAGGAGCAGCTGGAGTCACTCATGGAGAAGTGAGGAGCAGGCCTGGATCTTTGTACCTGCAAGCAGAGCTGGAAGTGTTGTTCATCTGCCACGCTGAAGTCTTTGCCTTAGTCACACACCTCTGCTGCCTGTTGGGCAGTGCTAGAGGTTCTGTGTCCAGAGCTGCTCTCATGCATTCTGCTGGGCTTGGCTGTTGGAGCTAAAGAATTGGACTGTGCCTGTGAGAGCAGCCAAAACACTGGACTTACTGTAAATATTCAGCACCATTTTCCCAGAGGTGTTTAGTTCTCCCTGGGACAGTTGCGTGTGGCTCTCTGCATCTTACTGAGTCTTGGACTTGATGGACTGCAGCCTGGTAGGAGGTTGTTCTTGTGTTTGAGGAATGCTTGTGTCTGCAAACCAGACTCAATAAAGTACTGTTTCCACCCCTGGTCTGTTCCTCTGTGGTTTCCTGAGCACAGACTAGCACTGCCTCTTGCCAGCTTGCGCCTGACCACACACAGCCCCGGGCTCGGGCTCACACCAGCATTGCTGGGCTCTTCACTGAAATGCTCCTTGTGTGGCTGGGTCAAAGGGGGACTGCATGCAAAGGGGACCCCGTGAGCTGTCACTCGGTAGGAGGAACGAGGCCCTCCTGATCAGGGAGTTTCTTTAATTCCTCACAGACTAGGCAGTCAAATCCCAGATTAACCTGGCAGGGTGGGAAGAGGATTAGAAAGGCAGTTCCAGAACACAGCGGAGGGCACTGTGGACGCCCCACTCACAGCCCGAAGGGCAGGGGAAGGGGAGAAGGCTTCCAAGCTCTGCCCCCAGCACAGAGAGCAGAAGGCCAGCAGCAGCCCTGAGAGATGATGTGTGTCTCCAGATAGTGAAGAAAAGGAGATGGTGTGAGGAGGACGTGGAGCTCAGGAAAGGCCAGAGTGTACCTGTGTGCATGTGCCTGTGACCTGCCCCTGGGGGCTGGCAGGAGCGGTGATGGAGGAAACCTACCTGCTGAATGTAGAAGGGGTCAAAAAGAAGATTCTGCATGGAGGCCGAGGGGAGCTGCCGAAGCTGCAGGATGGGAGCAAAGTAAGTCGTCTTGGTTGTTGCCCCAAAGCCCTAGGAGAGGGAAGTGGTCCAACACCACCATCCCTGCGCGTTAGGGTTAAATTCCCTGCTCACAAGCTGAGCTCCAGGTCTGTGGTACAGGGAGATCCCATCTCCAGGAGATCCCTTGCGAGGGGGGTGCAGGAAGGGCTGTTTCGGTCACAGGCAGCCACATGTGATGGCGGACGTTGCCCACTGCCTTCACCTTGCACTGGGGCTGTTGCCAGCCTCCTCCCTCTGTCCTGGGGCAGTCGGAGCTCAGCGGCCACGATGGGTCGCTGGAAATCTGCTTCTCCTGATTTGTGTCAAATGAGTGAGGGGTGCCAACATGAAGCTCTTGGGGGTTTGCAAGATTCCCCAGGCCATGGGTTTGGGCAGATCAGTGTGGGTTCCAGCAGGTCCTGGTGCATGCTGTGGGAGCGCTCTGTGTACTGGGTTATAAAGGGGGATCCAAATAGAGCAGCAAGATACAGCATTGATGGGTGTTAAGACACTCCACCATCTGCTTGCTGTCTAAGACAAGTGGGTAGGAGGCACAATCTCCTGCTGCGGATGGAGAGCTGCCAATCAAACCAGCACTTCTCCAGGAGCAGGCTTGGCCCTGCATCCTGGCCCTGTGGCAGAGGGATTCGGGGCTGGCAAGGGGACAGCGATCTCTCGCTGCGGTGCCTTACTGGCTCAACACTGAGCTTTCTCTGGGGCAGATCACCTTCCACTTCCAGACGCTGAAGGATGACTTTGAGCGGACAGTGATTGATGACAGCCGGGAAGCTGGCATCCCCATGGAGATCATCGTGGGCAAGATGTTCAAGCTGGAGATCTGGGAGACGCTGCTCAGCTCCATGAGAGCTGGGGAGGTGGCCGAGTTCTGGTGCGATGCCATCGTGAGTGAGGGGCCCGTGAGCGCCCACTCCCCTCCTTCTCTGCAGATCCAGGGCACAGGACCATGCACCCCAGAGATGCTCCAGCCTTGCCTGGTGCAAGCACAAGGGGGCACGGGGCAGGGTGGCGGGGGGGCATCAGAGGGGGCTGGCCCCAGAGGAAGGGGGTGCAGGCTGGCCCCATGCGGTTGAGCGGGGTGCTCCCCCTTCTTGCAGCACACAGGCATGTACGCCCTGGTCTCCAGGGGCATGCGGAGGATTGCAGAAGGCCGGGACCCCCTGGAAGGGCAGAAGCACCGCTGTGGCATGGGCAACATGTTTGACTACCACAGCACAGGCTATGATGACCTGGATGAGCTGCAGCGGACGCCGCAGCCCCTCATCTTCATCATGGAGTTGTTCCGGGTAAGGGGGATGGCAGGGAGGGCTGCCAGCATGGGGACAGCCAGGGCAGGCAGTTCAGCTCCCACTGCTTGTGCAGGTGGAGGAGCCCTCAGCGTACAAGCGTGACACCTGGGCCATGAGTAAGGAGGAGAAGCTGGCAGCGGTGCCCGTGCTACACCGCGAGGGCAACAGGCTCGTCCTCCACAAGGAGTTTGGGCAGGCGGCGGCAAAGTACCAGGAGGCTGTCATCTGCCTGAGGAACCTCCAGGCCAAGGTGAGCAGGACCTGGTCACCTCCTGTCATCCCTGCCTGGGTTTTCTCAGCAAAGCACTCCCCTCTGGGCCCTTGGTGCCCTGGAACGTTTGACCACAGCTGTGAACCACCCACTGTGGCTCCCCGGGGCAGGAGAAGTTTGGGCAGGCGGCGGCAAAGTACCAGGAGGCTGTCATCTGCCTGAGGAACCTCCAGGCCAAGGTGAGCAGGACCTGGTCACCTCCTGTCATCCCTGCCTGGGTTTTCTCAGCAAAGCACTCCCCTCTGGGCCCTGGGTGCCCTGGAACGTTTGACCACAGCTGTGAACCACCCACTGTGGCTCCCCGGGGCAGGAGAAGCCATGGGAGGATGGGTGGCTGAAGCTAGAGAGCCTGGTCACGCCGCTGGTGCTCAACTACTGCCAGTGCCAGCTGGAGCTGGGAGAATACTACGAGGTGTTGGAGCACACAACGGAACTCCTCCAGAAACACAATGGTACCCATGCCCTGCATCCTACCCCCCTGCTGTGCCTGCAGCCCCTGGGGACTCTGTCCTCTGGATCCCTCATTCATGACAATGATCATCCCATGTCCCTCTGCCTGTGATGGTACCTATGTCATCTGGATCCCCATGTCCGCTGCAGAACCCGAGCCCCAGGTCCCCTTGCCCTTGACAGGGCCCATGTCCCTGGTTTCCCCTGCCCACAGTGGCACCTGTACCCCATATCCCCTAGGTCCCCCTGCCCATCATGTCCCACATCATCCAGATACGCCTGCCTACCATGGTTCCCCTTGCCCATGATGATCCCTGCACCCCATGTCCCCTGTGGCCCATGGTGCCACATGCACAGCCCAGGTCACCCTGCCCATGACGGTACCCCGACCTACAAGAAGTGTGTCCACCCCACGTTCCTGTTCCCTTACCTATGATGGTACCTGTGCTCCATGTCCCCTGGGTTCCCAGGGTCTCCAGCTCCTGTGGCTGGGGGCCCTGAGCTGCCGGACCCCCGCCGGGGGCTCTCCTCTCCTGGCAGACAACGCCAAGGCCTATTTCAAGCGGGCAAAGGCCCACGCTGCTGTCTGGAATGAGCGGGAGGCACGGGAAGACTTCCTGCGGGTGGCTCACCTCGACCCCTCGATGGCAGCCGCTGTGAAGAAGGAGCTGAAGCAGCTGGGTGAGAGGATGAGGAAGAAGCACGTGGAGGATCGGAAGCGCTACCAGGGGCTCTTCCAGCTGCCCCAGAGGCCACGGGCCAGCGAGCGGCAGGAAAGTAAGGAGGTGGGCAATGGGGCCATGCTGCAGGAAGAGGTACCCCAGGGTGAGGCTGGGCTCCTGGAGACACCTGGGCAGGGGGAGTGGGGTGCAAGGACCGAAGAACTAGAACAACCAGGGGCTGACCAAGCAGAACAAGGGAACCCCAGGGCCAGGTGTGAAGAGGCAGCACCAAGAGGAGAAGCAGCGCAGAGGAAACCTGCAGAGGTGGAAGCAAGGGATGGGATAGGTCTGAGGGAAGAAGCAAACCTGGGCAACTGTGGGGCAGAGCCAGAGAGCTGGGGAGCAGAGAGGAGGGCAGAGGAGGAAGATGAGGAAGAAGTATTGAAGGAGGAAGAAGAGGAGGAGAAAGTGGAGGAGAAAGAAATAAAGGAGTGGGAGGAGAAGATAGAGGAGGAGAAAGTGGAGGAGGACAAAGAGGAAGAGAACCCAGCATCAGAGATTAAAAAGCTGACTTTAGGGCAATGTGAGGCAGCAATGGGGACAGAGGCAGGGGGGGACGGGCAGGGAGCCAGTGGGGCAGAGGGAGCTGGCACAGGGAGCATGGCTGGGACTGAAGCAGGCAGAGCTCTAGAGCTGGGGACCCCCACTGAGGGGCTGGGGCCCCTGGAGCTGAAGGACTAAACACCGGGGGAGGCGCTGGAAGAGGGGAGCTGTGGGGAGCAGCAAGCAGGCAGCAGCCGATGAAACGCTGGGGAAGGCAACGCTCCCCCACGCCCTGACAGCTTTGCCCCTGGGGCAGTGCTCTAGGCTGGGCACTCAGAGCAGTTGAGGAGCTGGGTGGAGGGGCAGAAGTAACCCCCTGCCCCATAGCAGCCGGGGAAGGGGTGACACATCCAGCAGGGCAGTGAAGTGAGAGCAGAGAGCTCGGGGCCATGACCCTGGGGCACGGCCAGTCCTGAGCAGGGCCAGTTACCCCTGGATGGGGGAAAGGCTGCTGGACCACTGACAAGGTGGCGCAGCACAGGCAGTGGGGCTGCTGTACTCTGAGAGGGAGCCCCAGGGCTGAGGACTGGCCCTGCGGTGACACGGGAACAATGCTGTCCTCACCCTGCTGCCACCGGGACCACCAGCCCCGCTGTGCAGCAGCACCTGCTGCCTCCTGCCCCGACACAACTGGGCCCCACTGAGCTTTGCTGACTGAGAAATAAAAGC